GTTGTCCTGTGTTTTTGATGCCGCTTGTGCTTACGGTGTTCGTGTGGAGCACCGTATTTATGGTGGTTTGTTGTACATCCGTCGTTACCGTGCGAGAACTCGAGTCTGTGAGACAACTATCCGTATGTTGCTGTTTGCTGACGACTGTGCGTTGTTTTCACACAGCGCGGATGAGTTGCAGCATATGACTAGTGCTCTGGCTTCGACAGCGGTAAAATTTGGGCTCACCATCAACACAAGCAAAACTGTCTGTCTCTTTCAGCCTCCACCGTAGGTGCAATCTTCAATATTGCCGCGAATCAGCATTGATGCTGAAGTATTAGAAACCACCTCCCGCTTCAGCTACCTTGGGAGTGTGATGTCGACTGATCAGCAGCTACCCAGTGAACTGCCTATCCGCGTGTCGAAGGCAGCGACGGCATTCGAGAAGCTTGAGTACCGAGTGTGGAACCACCATCAGCTTACCATTGGCATGAAGCTGATGGTGTACCAATCCATGCTGCTGTCCGTTCTCCTGTAGGTCAGCGAAACGTGGACCATGTATCGTCGGGATGTGCGATATCTCGAGCGGTTCCATCAGCAGTGCTTACGACGGATTTTGCCCATCGGATGGCGCGACGGAGTTGCAGACATGGAAGTGTTGCGCCGTAGTGGGATATATGCAGTGGACTGCATACTTTTGCTGAGACACCTGAGGTGGCTCTGTCATGTGTGGCGTATGGATTCAAAACGGATACCGAAACAAGTATTATATGCTCAGCTGAGTATTGGGAAGCGGCACGTGGGGAAACCAAAGTTAAGTAACCAAGACATGATTAAAGTGAGCCTCTCACGTTCTAATCTTGATTGCGGGTCATGGGAATCGAAGGCGGTTGATCGGCGTGCATGGGTCGATCTGATCACTAAGGCAGTTGCCGAAGTGCGGGAGAAAGCCTTCATGCATGCCGAAAAGAAGCGGCAAGCACCGATGGGTTGTACTCCATCGACATCGAGCACATGGTGCTGTAGCACATGCGGACGCCAGTGCCTGAGTCAGGCAGGCTTAGTGAGCCATGAGCGAGGCCACTCGGGACCACTACCGAAGCGACGACGGGTCCTGCAGAGAACGTAGGCAGAACCGGCTCAGCGTTGTAGGTACGCTGCATTCAATTTACTAACCGCGTGCTTGCATGCTAAGTCTCTTTATTTCAGGTGGTGGGTTTTCAATTTTGTCCTAATCCTTTTCTTTCTCAAATAAATGTCCATCTGTACGCTCTTCTATAAACCTGCACAACTCGCTTAAGTCAATTGTAGTTAATTTCGATAACATTTTCGTGTTTGTGTCATTTCCGTAAAATATACTTTCTGACACCCTGAGCTTATCTCGGATTCTTTCGTAAACAACTTATTTCATATGCTCATTAATTTAGGATTTTTGTCACGTTTTCCTATGCATTACTCGATTTCTTTTCTTTGTTAGCTTTATCTCAAGTGACTGGCTGTTGCTTGATATCCCCGGTGTGGCTGCGCTTGATGTGCATGTTGACAAGGTGCCTACCTGTCTATTTCCCACTACCTCGTCCATACTGGCTCCAGGAGACAGTTGGTCGTTACTGGAGGGGACAGGGTGCACGGTTCTTGTGGCCGTGCTAGGATCAAGGAGTGGTTCCATGCACTCAGTGTGGAGCGGACTACGGTCCAGCCACCGTCTTGTGTGCGCTTGATTCCCCAAATACAGCGTGCTTGTGTTTGCCTGTGAAGGAGTGTGGGCCGGCTCCGTTGATGTAACGTGACTCCCATCCACATGCCTCCCGGTCTTATTCCTTCGGGTTTACACTGGATATGGGGTGTGTGGTTAGAGCTGTGGGCGGTGCAGCGCAAGCCATCCATGGTCTCTCTGTAGGCGCAGGCGTCTTGTGGCTGACCACAGTGACAGGCAAATCCGAAACCGGATGCCGCCAACCATATATATATATATATATATATATATATATATATATATATATATATATATAGACAGCAGCTTACGAATAGGCATGAAACCATCAAAAACCATGGAACTCAAATAAAGCTACAGATCTCGCTAAAAAACAACATATGGTTACGTCAGAGGGCGAGATACTACCCGGTTGCCCAAACCGAAGTAGAGTGTTGTCTTAGGGGACACCACACCGAGCTTTTGGCCGAATGGCCTATCCGCAAAACAGCGGAGCAAATTCAGGGAATCGCGCTTATTGGCAACGGGTGACTGATTATGCCGTTCATATGCCTTTTGTTTGTTCGTTTGTCAAACAGGGGTTCAATGCTCCCCACAATTTCACCATTGAGTTGCTGGAATACAATGCTTCGCCAATATGATTTAGGAGACAGTGACTTTATTTAGTGGCGACTCACATCCGCCACATCGCAGTGTTGTTAAACGGACATATGTGGTTTTTTATGGGGAGAACGCTTGTCACGCGAAAGCCCACCACGTCCTGGAACACTGCCTTCGAACCATTTGCTGGGACGGGAAAATCCAGAACCACCCAACTAGTACCACGAGGAGGTTGTTCCGCAAGCCAGCCTGGACACGTGAATCCTCCACACTTTGGTTCCTAACTCGTGATTGATCAACTATTCATTACTACTGGGGCTGTTTGGTGAAATCTGCTTCCTGCCACATGATGCCCACTGAGATTTTCCACACCGTTGCCACCACACCAGCCTTGGAATGCTTTCCTGTTCTTTTCTTTTCAGTATCTCCTAGTTCTGATCCTCACATTTCTTCCGGTCTTTCACTCGAGTGTACCATCGGCTTGTGTGCCTCCATTCAGTACACCATGACGCAAGTAATCTGTCGCCGAGTGCAACGGGCATTCGAGTTCCTCCGGTTGCAAACGAGCTCCATTTTTCCATGGCCAAACGCACTAGTAAGTTGTGCCCACTTAGTTCATACTTATGCTCTGTTTTTATTTCGAACTGCTACGTTACCTTTTTTACCGATGTTCTCCACTTTACTTCCACGTCCGTTTGTTTATTATACTTTTTGTTTTCACTTTCCTTGGTTCGCCGATGTCAGCCTACACCTACTACAAATTATCTGTCGTGTTGTTGTATTATCCATAACGCTGCACTGCGGCAGCATTCGCAACTAACCTGCAAGTGCGCCAACAAACTCAACACACAGCATCCCCATTAGTCACCCATCATTTTTGGACCTTTATTTTGCAATGTATTCACTTTTGGGACCTACCGTCGACTCTTTGGATAATTGCAAAAGCTGAGGTCTGTTAGTTGCTGTCTTATCCCACCAACAAGTAGTTGTTCTTTCGCCTTGTTCTTGACTGTCAGAGGCATATATCGCTTATTATTCACCCTTACTTTTAGGTTTGCGTATACGTGCTTATCTAACACGGCCGATTCAGCTGATCGGCATCTTCCCAAGCTATGATGTTTCAGACTGACTTCATGTCGGGAGCGCTCTACACCTTCCGCAGCAGCTCATTTTATCCACTTCACACTAAGCACATACACCCCCCAGCCGTCATATGACAAGGATTTTCGTTGTTCGTCTTATCACCACTCCGGGTATCACATGTTCCAGTGACAACTTCTGATTTCGAATTCTTGGTCTCTACTTGGAACCGATCGAGTAGTCATGGTTTCAGAGATATTTGTGAACAATCGGTTGGTTTATTTATTTGGCGACTTTTTGCTATTGACACAAAAGCGTCGTCAAGCCAAGTGAATTGGTGCAAAGTTGGTGTGACATTTTTAGCGGGTGAGTGAAATAATCGTGACAACTGAGATATGAGTTAAGAAACTCTTATGGAGACAGGTTAGTCACAGTGGGATTATTCCAGAAGTTTCACTGCCCGTCATGCTACTAATTACAGACTTGGTGGCAATGATGATGATGTCGGTTCTTAATATCCAATCTGACCCGCCTATCGACACTCGTCAGACTGGCCTGGTTAAGATTGCTCTGCACGTGGTCGAGAGTTCTACTCCCTGCATTCTAATCACACAGCTATCGACTTCAGAGATTTCGATCGCCTCGCGAATTGACCTCTGGGGCTTCGATCGTAAACGTTTCTTAATGATCTCGACATTATCCAAAGTGATCTGATGCCTGGTGTCCAGCGAGTGCACAGCTACGAAGGAATCTCTTAACAGAGCTCGTATTCAAGCTCATTCCGCCGTTATCTCGGCTAACTTCCTTACCACCCTTTCAACGCTAGGAATTACCTCCGCGCATAACACCTTTGTTCTTGACCAAAACCATTCTGCAACAATGTACACTCCACTTCATTTCAAACTCTATCTGACCTTACCGTAGTCACCACTAGATCCAGGCTTACCCTTAATGCTGGTAGCCCTTGGATGCGTAGAAAGGAAATGATCGAACTTACAAATTCGTCTTTCCTTGGAATCCTGTCCTCGCTTCGAATTAATTTCTGAAGCTTTGTTGGAAACTCGTTCTTACTCTGTCTGCGTTATGGAGGCTTTCAGCTTCAGACTCAGTTGATTTACACGGAGTTAAATCTCACTTAAACGTCTGCTTGTTAAATAAATCCGCTGTCACAATAATGCTTGAAATGTATGAAACCCTATCATTTCGGAGGTTTATGGATTATCCGTAGGTTTCACTACAAGTGATCGAGATATTATGTTATTCCTCAGACTTCTCAGATTGGAAATATGATGATTTGCCCAATTCGCCTTAAAGTCCGCCAATCGAATGAAACCACTTGATGGTTTTCAAAGGCGTGGTCCCTATTTGTATTCCAATTCTCTGATCATACTTGGAGCCAATGGAGAAGTCATGGTTTTAGATATTTGTGAACAATCGGTTGGTTTATCTAGTTGACAACCTTTCTTTTTTTACACAAAAGCTTTGTCAAGCCAAGTGACTTGGTACGTAGTTGATGTGGCACTTTATAGCGAGTGAGGAGGATAATTGAGTCTTGTTGCCATGTGGATTATAGGCCCTTTCCGGGCACTCCTTTTGAAAACCTGCTTAACTGATCAACCAGCCTGGCGATGATGGGCCTAACCTGGTTACCAGGCTGAAGTTGATCTCTCAATCTGGATAAATGTATCCGTAAATTTTCCTGTCTATTATTCAGCCCAACCTTTTACCTCCCAATTTCTTATACTTCACGGGAGCGGCGACCGATCCGAATCATAACGAGAGTACCCTGTTTTGTCCATTGCGCCGAGATTGTATCGTAACGTGATGCAACGTCCGTAACCCATTAAGCTACGCTGGGCCGCACTTTTCAAATGCCTTCAGAGAAATCATACCAGTCAGGTTAGGAGTCAGGCCGAGCTGTGAATGGATCCAGCGACTGAACACTGTCTTGGATGAGCACAAGCAATGAGCAGTGATTTATCACGGATAAAAAAGCAGGTTCTTGGCAAGCCATAGGATGGATTGAGTTAAAATTAAAAATGCAAAGGCCAAATGAATCATCAGTTTAAGCGTCCGCCGATTTAAATGCACTGCTGCATAACGATAATTGAAAATGTGAATTGAATGTGCGTACACAAATTAACATTGGGAGCAGCTATAGTTTGTTTATTCCATGGTAAAAAGGGAACTAAACGCCTAATCGTGTGCCGCTTCCTTGAATCGATGTGAAACGTAACAGTAGTTTGAGTATATCATAGCGTTATTCCACGGTAGCAGCGTTTAAGTAATGAAGTGCGAGAAAGTGAAAATGAAAATGAACACATTGACTGGTGGTGTTGGGTCGACGCATGGTCAGAAAGGGCTATACAGCGTCATGTGAATGCATGGGTATATCATCGAGATGTCCTTTGTATACCGTTAGTGTTCGGGAAAGTTTTGTAAGTAGTGAGGTCGTCCCAAAGTCGGCACGCATAAGCGAAAAGAAATCCTGGTAGCACTCCGACCAGCTCTATTGTGTGGCCAGCTTTAGCTGGTGATCTCCCAGATTGGTATTGTGATTCAGCTTCGGATGGTGACGACATCGCTGGTTTATATTCTTCAGAATCAAACTTGTCATTAACAAATCGCTACGCACGCATCGATAGTGTCCACTGCAGACCCCGAGGGTTTTCGACCTCAGTTGCTAAGCGAGATGACACAGAGCCTTTACCTTCTTAGTCACCCTTGGTTGTGGCATTTCATGTTCGACAATGTCGTGTTTGTACCGTGGCTACTAAGCGTGGATGGTGTATTCCGAATAGACGTAATGTAGGCGTAGAACTTCTGAGAGAAGAGGGAAGGGTCAAAAAGTTTGAATGCTCTCCCCAAAAGGCCTACTTTTTGGTTGGCCTTTTTGGATGCTTTCTCGGTCTGACGTAAACTGTCAAGATTGTCCTGCGGACTTCTAGTGAATGCGACCTAGGTGTGATAACACCTAGATCGCATTCACTAGAAGTCCGCTGCAAAACTTGATCTTCTGCCTGTACTCGCAATTAGGTTGACGACTTATGCTTAATGTCCCATGCTTTGTGAGCTTGTAATGAAGCAGGTTCTGCGTCGCTCATTCGTATGCCTTATCAAGGTCTTCCTTAAGTGCGACGTGCTCACTCGTTGTTTTATGGGCCATACCTTGAGATCTTCAGTGAATAGTAAGAACTTTAAAGTAATCGCCCACGTAAGATCGTTCATGTATATCTGGAATACGCGCAGACCAAGTACTGATCCCTGTGGCACTGCGCTCTAAACTTCGCTATGGTTAGACAACGCTGCGAGCTCTTCATTCAGAATTCGTTTTAGGAGGAAGTTCAGGAGGGTAAAAACTCTCAGGAAAATTCATTATTTCCATGGGAAAACGCGTTTAGCCCATGGTGTACAACTGTAACCTCAAGACGTTTCATGAACGTTCGCGTCTACACGACGCGCTTACGTACTTGTTAGCGGAACTGACCTAACAATCAGGACAACTGACCTAGCTGTTCTAATACGTGAACATTCCTGAGTCGATTTATAAATGCCCGTTGGTTTCACACTACTTATCTCCGTTTCGGTAGCTGCTTCTACCATGCTTTTACTCCTAAACATTGACTTCGGTTTTCAGCTAGAATTTGGAACTGGCCGGGATCGTGTTCCGTTTAATGGGAATCGCATACCAACAGGTGCACCTAACTTTTTTCACTGAAAGTAGGGTTACAAATCCCACAGCGCGGAAGCTTGTAAAAAAGGATGTGCCGGTTCAGACGATCGAACGCCTTTAAGAAGTTCACGTGGACTTCATCAAGGCCTACCGCGCTATCGACGGTCTCAGTCCAACTCATGCAAGCGAGTCGCAGGTTTGTGGTATAAAACCGGTTCTGGTGGAATTCATGTTGTTCTTGTGCTATGACGTTGCATCATTCTTAGTAATTCATAGGCGCTTTACCTATAATGCGCTCCATATCTTCGGAAAACACCGGAAGGGATGTTAACATATGATAGTTTGCCGGATCTGCGCGACTTCTTCCTTGTGAATGGGAGGGACGATTTCATACTCCTACATCGCTGCAGCCTGCAAATCATCGAGGCATCTTAGGAAGAGCTGAGACAGGGGATCCGCCAAATTTCTTGTAGCTAACTTCAACGTATTTGGTCGGATATTATCTGCACCCGGAGAGATATGCACAGGATAGTGACATCGTTCCGAACTTTCAACTACTTGGTCCATATCTTCTCGTTATCTGCTGTGTTTTTCTCACCACTTGTGGTGCGAATTTTAATGGATAGGAGTATTTTCGTTGCTGATATTGCACGTGGCAGCAAGACTGCCGACATTCCACTCAGATTTGCTTTGCTGAATAACCGCATCTGGGCGGTTCGACAGATTTTTCATGGGAGTTAATAAGCACCCTCTGAAGGCACTATCCTTTTACTGTTTAGTCTAAGTTCAAACCAGCTGCAACCACGAGACACTTTACAGACGAATTCTTTCGGGGACTGATCCTCTCTCCATTTGGTCAAAGGTACGAATGTGGTTTTCTTTGCTGACAGCATGGGTTATCTAGTGGACTGCTTTCTGATTCCAACTAACACTTTGGAAGTCGTTTCGGGGTTAAGATCTTCCGTGTCGAAAATGGCAATCAGCTTCTTTTACTCGCTTTCCGACTGCTTGTGTCAACTACAGTGCAATAGTTTACCCTGTCCAGCACCGGCAGAGCAAAATGGTGCTTTCAGCTCAAATCGACCATATTACCATCACTTAACAAATGACACACATCAGGGCCAGCTTTTCATTGGTATGGAAAACTTGACTAGATTCGTATCCTTGGATGTACTCTCGTGTTGCTGACTCCTCCGATTTCATTGGGGATCCCAATCGCGGAGTTTCTTGTTTCGTTTACATCGGGACTACTTCGTACGTCGGCTGTCACCGGCGAACTAAGTGTATGAGCTGGATACCGATTTAAGTCGCCTCGGATACGCAACGAAGAAAGCGTTTGCAGCCATTTGCTTATCTAACTTGATTCATCCGAGTAGTGAATAGGCGTTTAAAGCGTCTGTTATCCCTCATCCACCTTGCGTTGCCATCTCTTTGCGTTCAGAAGTGCCTTTTACTTCGGCGTATCAACTGAGTCCCGTGCACCGAGTTTCGCTTCATCAACTTGCCTTTATTCGCATCATCATGACAACAATAGTATTAGTGCTACTGTTGGCCTAAGAGGAACTAGAAAGCAACGTAATCGAAAGATGAACTAGTTAGAGACCACAAATGTGTAGGGACGAGTGCAAGAGTATCACTGACTTTGTGATTGTAGCACATGCGACAACCCATCTGATCACTGGGATGGCCGATCCCGAAGTCCTTAGCAAGGAGGACAATAAACCCGTATCCTACTCTTACACTCTGAGTGTCGACCACAAACTTTGCTTGCTAGTAAGGGCTCGTGGCATGAAGATGGCGATTGACTTTGGAAACGGCCGATTACCTTGCCGAGGAAACCCTAAGTTTATTAGCCCACAATAACGTCGGATAGATCGTTTGACAGAATATTTTAAAGAGCAACTCAGCTGGCAAAGTATCGCCATCATTTACTGAATTAGCTGAAATCACGTGGATCATTGACGCCATGCTTCCGACTTTTGAAAGCATCCTATGTAAACCCGTTCTACTGAAATGGATCGAAACAACTGAACCCAACCATCATCAAAACGAAAGCACGGTTAGTTTGTGGATAATATCTAGCTGCTTTATTCAATACTGTAAGCGATACTAGGGAGCTACTTTCAGACTACGATTGTCAACCGTTATCCCATTTTACAATGTTTATGGAACGAGGGTAATTCTGATATTTCCTTTTCTGCATTTGTTTTTCTGCAGATCACCTGTAATCTCTGCAGTATGCTTGATTTCCGTCCCGGTATACCATGCATTGACCCCTGATTTGCACTTCGTCGGTTTCTGAAATAACTACGTGCACACAACTGATCCACTTCTTTCGATCGCTTGTTTGCTCCTGTTTGTCGGAAAGATTTCTCTTCAGGACTCTGTCTACTACGATTAGCGAAGCCGAACAAGGGTTAACGAGGAGCTTACTTCCGAATTTCGCACGACTGGTGCAGCGCATCATTGTCTCCTTATATCCCATTTCCCCCATCCTTGTAACCTGGGTTGTGTTAAACTACCATGTCCTTTCTCCTTCTAATAGAGTTTATGTCTTGACAAGTGGCTGACTAGTCTAGAGTGCGCCAGCTACGTTGAATCGATAGTCGTACCCATCTTCAAAAAGGGCCTGCGCACAATCTGCTCCAACTACAGAGGAATAAGTTTAGTCCCCGTCGTTTGCAAGCTGCTGGTGTCCATCATACTTCGCAGGCTATCCCCCACGCGCGAATCGTTGCAACGAGAAGAACAAGCTGGGTTTCGCCCTGGTCGCGGCTGCATCGATCAAATCTTCACACTTCGCCAGATCCTCGAGCTCCGCCATGTGTATCAGAGGCCAACGATTGCTGTGTTCCTGGATATCCGTGCAGCCTTCGATTCTGTCGATCGTACAGTACTGTGGCAGTGCCTTCTGAGGAACGGTGTCCCCGAGAAGTTCGTCTCCATACTGCGCGCTCTATACAGTCTGACCTCGGGCAGGGTTAGGGCTTATGGCATGCTTTCGCCTACCTTTGTGGTCTCCAGTGGCGTTCGACAAGGATGCCCTATCTCTCCGTTCCTATTCAACTTTGCCATTGAGGATGTCCTGAAGAACGCTCTAGGCGATTCGTTGAACGCTGGCGTTGAGCTCCTCCCAGGTAGTCGAGTTGTTGATTTGGATTATGCTGATGATATCGTCTTGCTGGGTGACGATCCACAGGTCGTCCAACTTGCATTAAACCGCTTGACGATTGAAGCATCAAAGTACGGTATGTGCTTTTCGTCATCCAAATGCAAGGCTCTCCTTCAAGACTGGCAGGTGCCTCTGCCTGCACTCACGCTTGCTGGTGAGACACTGGAGGTTGTGGAGAGCTTTGTCTACTTGGGAAGTTGCATCACTGCTGGCGGGGCTGTTGGAGACGAGATTTCGATGCGCATCTCGAAAGCACGCCTCGCTTTTTCTAGGCTGAGGCATTTGTGGCGTCGCCACGACATTCGTCTCTCCATCAAAGGGCGGGTCTATTGTGCAACTGTTCGTGCTGTACTGTTGTACGGATGCGAGACCTGGCCCATTCGTAAAGATGACTTGCGCAGGCTATCCGTCTTCGAGCACCGCTGTCTGCGATCCATTGCCCGTGTGTGATGGCAGCACCACGTAAGCAATGTGGAAGTTAGACAGCGTGTCTTGGGACGTGGAAGCCACTCGCTCGAGGAGCTCGTCTCACTGCATCAACTGCGGTGGTTGGGACACGTATTGCGCATGCCTGTCCAGCGTTACCCCCGTCGTGGGTTGTTTGCACTTGCTGGACAGGGCTGGAAGAGACGGTCTGGTGGACAGCCTACAACATGGAGAAGCCGCATGAAAAAGTTGACGAAACAATTGGCCTCGGCCGGTTGTTGTCGACTACCTGGTTGGGGTCCGAGAGACGAGGATACTTGCTGGTTGAAAACCTTGGAAGTTATGGCTCAAGATCGATATCAATGGCGGACGTGTGCATCAGTGTGTTGCGGTGTCCCTTCCTCCTCCCCTAAAAAAGAACAAACTGAAAAAAAAATTTCAAAAACTGTGAGTGGTAAACTTGACAAAAAAAAGCATTTCTTGTTGCTCTTTTCTTATTATTCATATTGTTTTCCTATTCAGCCATGATTCCGATGGCACAATATCTGTACCACAGATTGTGTATAATATATATATATATATATATATCCCACCACACTGCACTAAGTTCACTTACAAACTCATCTGGACAAACAAACACGTCTGGACGCGCGCTTTGGTATGTGTTTCCCCCGCAAAACGCGCGGGTGATTACCATCGTACTAGACTAGCACACCATCAATTTTAATTATCACCGATGAACCGTCTGAAATGGTTAATGAGTTCACTTAGCTAGTTGTAGCACCTCCAGCAATCCAGCCACCAAAGTGGTTTCTGTGTGTGTGCGTGTGTATTTACAAAGTCCATGCTGCTTTTCAAACCCTCATTTATTAGAAACTGCTAGATGACTGGATTATGCTTCTGCTGGTACCTCCGTATGATCATGACTACGGCTACTCTTTCTGTGTCAAGTTGAAGTAGCGGGTGTGTTTAACCCCCGGTACTTGAGGAGAGTTGCTCATTTCCGGTGTGAGCACCGACTGAACACAAGGAAGTCTCCAGTTGCTGTATTCAGTGACTCTCCCATTAGTGTCTGTTAAGAATGAACCGCAGGTGTAGCAACTGCTACATCTTTCCTGTACCTATCGACCACCCACATCAGCACGCTTTGTTTACCTTTGCGTCGCCTAGTTAGGTACAATGTGGTGGTGGCGAAAACCGTGGAGAGATCGACTCAGAAACTTGGTCAACCAGGCATGTGCCGTCTTGGATCGGCCCAGTCAATACTCGGGGACTTTTCGACATTGTGCGGCCATGACTCATTGACACTCCTGCACTTCGCTTCTGGATGTATGCCCTCTAGTTCGCGTATTCTTACTTACCGCTATTTTATTTTATTTTTTACTGTCCCTCTTTTCTCTCGCCATTTGTCTATTGTTTTCATTGTGATGTATGTCAGGGCAATTGAGTATTCTACTGCTCAACACTCGGATCATAGTTTCTTGACTAAACGGAATTGCATTAACCGGATTGAAATCCTATCTGTGTCTGTGTGTTATTTTTACCCGCTGTTGCGGTAGTTAGGCGGATATGAAGCCAGTACGGTTTTTGGCTGCGAATGTCTTCCTTTCTCGCAACGACTGGCAGTTGCTATGAGACTGATTTCCTCCTTAAATCTCGTTTCCGCTCTCATGACATTTGTCAGGTGCAGTAGATGACTCGACGATGAGTGGTTGCCTATCGAAATCCCATTCCACCTTGTTTTTTCATATACGGTTTTGTTCTCGAGCCATTCGGTAAGAGCCAAATTTACCGGTGCCGTTCTGCGCGCTGTGAGTAGGAAGCAATCCAGTCTTCTTTTCCCTCCCATCCAACCTCATCATGCAGTTCGCGTCACATTACTTGTCCCAGCAGGTTCTGTTCTGCCCCATTTCTCGTTTAGCTGATAAACCTTCATTCCCATTTTCATTCTTTGTTTAATTAAAGATAGTGTCCGGCGGAGTTGCCGCGAATTCTTTTATTCGCAACGGCTTGGCCGAAGTTAGTGCACACTATCACGTCCCACTATTGGCACCCCCCGAACGTTTGTGCACCGACAATGGAGTTATGATTGCCTGGTAAGCATTACCGTCTGTTACTTCTCAACGATCACCTGTATGATTCTCTGTATTTCTATTTTTGATGCAAGTTTCACACATCCATTTACCAGTAGTGTGCTTGTGTATGAAAACAGTTATCATTTTGCTTAGCTGAAACTCGATGGCTCCCTCCCACGATGATGGTAGCATTGTCTGCAGAGCGGAGACTAATGTACTTATCTAGTCACTGGTCGCACGGAAATGATCCATACACCTGAGCAGCAGTAACAAATGGAATTACGTTATCTGCAGTTAATGGCTCTTGGATTTACTAGTTTCACCACCAACCAGCTGACAGAGAACACAACTAGGAAAGCTGTGGGATCAGAAGACTGTCCCAGCAGACTGGAGCCACACCGGTATTGTCCCACTTTTCAAGGGAGACTCATGTTCTGAGTGCAACCATCATAGCGGAATCACTCTGCTCCCAATTGCCTCTAAATTACTTGCGTCTTTTGTTCTCCACTGACTGGCTGCCACCCGTGGAAGCCAGATTCGCGAGGAGCGAACCGTGTTTCGTTGGATTCGAGGCTGCATTGGCTACATCTTTACTTCTCGTCAGTTGCCAGAACGCCACTATATTTATTGGCGACCCACCGTAGTCGAGTTTCTCGACATCAACTGTGCCTTCGATTCGGTGCATCGATGTTGGACTGTCTTCTCAGAAAAATTGTGCTCGATAAATGTATAAACCTTGTCAGAGCTCTGTACGCACATAGTTCGGGCAGAGTGCGGGTTTATGACAAACTGTCGCCGTCCTTTGATATCTCTAGCGATGTGAGAAAAGGTTGCCCGCTTTCACCTTTCCCGTTTAACTTCACCATTGGCGAAGTTATGGAAACGGCGTTCGCTAAACACGGCATACAGGGTGTGGAGCTCCTCTCTAGTGAACGACTTGACTTGGAGTACGCCCACGACATTACCCTTATTTGTGATAGTTCCCAAACGTGTCAAGCAGCACTGAGCAGATTAGCATTGGCTGTCAGTCGTTTTGGGCTCTACTTTTTACCGTCGTAATGCAAGGTCCTTCTCCACGATTAGTGGAGACCCACTCCTCCTCTGACCCTTAATGGTGATCAGCGAGAAGTCGTTCAGAAATTCAAGTATCTTAGCAGCTATATTTGCGCCTGTGCAATAGGTGAGATCACGAACCGTAATACAAAGTTCGAGGCGTTTTTGCCAGTCTCCGCTGCCTATGGCGCCGGCGCGACAATACAACCGTCCTTTTAACACTGCTGTATGGTTACGAAACCTGGCCAAACACAGTCTTGCGCCATCGGAATCATGTCTGATTAGGAAAACAGTATGAATAATTAGAAAATAACAACAACAACAAAAGATTATTTTGTCCAGCTTGCCACTCACAGTTTTTGAACTTTTTTCCAGTTTTTTTAGGGGGAGGAAGAAGGAACACCGCAACACACTGATGCACATATCCGCCACTGACATCTGTCTTGTGCCATGGCTTCCAAGATCTTCAACCAGCAAGTATCCGCATCCGTCGGACCCCAACCAGGTAGTCGACAACAGCTGACCGAAGCCAACTGTTTCGTCATCTTTTCCATGCGGCTTCTCCAAGGTGCAGGCTGTCCATCAGACCATCTCTTCGAGCCCTGTGCAGCAACCGCAAACAACGCACGACGCGAGTAACGCTGGACAAGTATGCGCGATACGTGTCCAAGCCACCGCAGTTGATGCAGTGAGACGAGCTCCTCGAGCGATTGGTTTCCTCGTCCCAAGACACGCTGTTTAACTTTCACATTGCTTATGTGTTGCCGCCACCACACACGAGCAATGGTCCGCAGACAGCGGTGCTCGAAGACGGATAGCCTGCGCAAGTCATCTTTACGAATGGGCCAGGTCTCGCATCCGTACAACAGTACAGCACGAACAGTTGCACAATAGACCCGCCCTTTGATGGAGAGACGAATGTTGTGGTGACGCCACAAGTACCTCAGACTAGAAAAAGCGAGGCGTGCTCTGGAGATGCGCATCGAAATCTCGTCTCCAACAGCCCCGCCAGCATTGATGCAACTTCCCAAGTAAACAAAAATCCACAATCTCTACTGTCTCATCACCAAGAGTGAGTGCAGTTACAGGCACCTGCTAGTCTTGGAAGAGAACCTTGTATTTGGATGGCGAAAAGTACATACCATACTTTGATGCTTCAATCGCCAAGCGGTTTAGTGCAAGTTGGACGACGTGTGGATCCTCACCCAACATCATAGTGTCACAGCAGCACTGATTCCGCCGAAATCGGTCCTGCACTACTAACTTGCTGCTAACCAGAGCAAGTTGGACGGATTCAGTCGATGCCAGAGTGGGGCTCGACGTCGTATGCTTGGACTTCTCTAAAACGTTCGATCGCCTGGGTCACCGCATTCTTTTTTACACGCTTCGAAGCTATGTAATCGGCGACCATGTGCTGGGTTGGATAAGCAACTTCCTCATTGAACCTCAACTGAATGCGAGAGTTCGCAGCTTCGTTTCCAACCCTATTGAAGTCCAGTGTGGTGTGCCCTGAGGATCGATACTGGGACAACATTTGTTCCTAGCCTTTACTAACGATCTTGCCAGTGTATTCCGATCTCAATTACTATCGCAGACGAGGTCGAGATCTGGCATAACATCAAGACGGTGACCATCACGCATGCAAAGAAACCTCGACGGGGCCTATACATGTTTATCCGAAAGCCAACTCTCGTTCACTCTAGCGAAATGCAAAGTTGTGAGCATATGCCACTAGGGTACCTATGTATATCGACTCGGTGGCCAGCGTTTGCAACGTGCTTCCCAGAAATTAAACCTCGGAATGCTCGTTCATAATGACTTTGGCTGCTCAAAACAGCTTGAAATAGCATCGAAAAGAGTCAGTTGGAATCTTACGGAGAGCTTTCGGAAAGTTCGAGTCTTCTTTGTTACACGTATTCTACCAATACAGACTGCAAGCCCTGGGATTGTACAACAGTGAATATCCTCGTCAGCGAGGAGACGTCATCATGGTTTACTAAATACTTATGGATCCTAATCACACCTGTCGCGACGTGCTGCAACTCAACCTCAATACTGACCTGAGAGGCTACCATTTCAAACTGGCTACTACGGCCGACTCGATAGTCGACAGCTTTTTCTCCCTTCGCTTGTGATACTACCTCACCATCGTCCGCTCGCTTGGAGTGAAGTACGATCTTACCTACTACCGATTAAGGTGTTGGTCGAGACAGCGAGTATGTAATGTTCATCGTCATGCGTGTTGTTTAGAACGATTCGTTTCTGGGCTTCGTGCTATGAATCTTGTATCGGAACCCCCTAACACGTTCAACCAATAAGGAAATGACAAACAAGACACGGTTAGTACTCGTCGAAACTTAGTGTATTTGCTATACATCCTGAGTGTCTTAACAGTGAGAAGTGAAAAACGATTAGCTGCAGATCATCGTGCGGCTCTAAAAACCTGTCCTACCTGCTCTTAGTTGTATAGCATCTGTGCTTTTTTTCGTTCGCACATTGAGGCCTTGCGATTGCAATTTAGTTGGTCATTGACATTTCCTGTTGTCACAGAAAGCCAATGGCTCTGACGATCTAGGCCGATCAACTTAGGTTTAGAGGAGAGTGCCATCTGAGCTCTCCAACCCACGGCCAATGGCTTGTATGAGTCTCTAGATGCACTTGTAGAGTACCACCTAACATCTTAGCGATTCACAGTTACATGAAATTGTCATTTTCCCGAAAGACAATATCAAAAGCAATACTTCCGCACTTTATAATAGTGCTTCCATGCCATGTAACCGTATGTAATAGGCGGTATCCGTTTCCGGATTTGGCTGTCTCTGACTGCGAACAGCCACAGAACACCTGTGTCGACAGAGAACATGGGTGGCTTGCGGTGCATCACCCACAGCTCCATCTACACACCCCATATCCAGTGTAAATCCGAGGAAATAAGACTTAGAGGCATGTAGATGGGAGCCACGAATGGTTCGGATCCGGTCTACGCTCCTTCAACATGCGCATCAATCACATGGAACGCAGGTAGAAACTACACCAGCTGTACGCCCGTACTTCGTGTTGGCATTTCACTGCTGCGCGGCCACCAGCAGTCGAGTGCTAGCTAGATAAACTAAGTGGTCGCCCGCACCGCAAATTATGAAATGTTGGAAATTATGCGCACTTTCAACGGGCCATGTTCGTTGCATACGAAATGAAACCATTCTGAGTTAGACACTGTGCACCCCATCTACCCTACCTACAACTACCACCGGGGACAATGTAAGGGGCTAGTGGGAACCTAAGGTAAAATTTGAATACGCACTTCAAACATACAACATCATTGTACCCACATCTTGCCAATACCACATGTGGACAAACCACTAACTACTGTTTGAAGATAACATAGTATCGGTGAGGCAACCTCCTTTTGGATCTCACAGACCCACGCCACGATCAACTTTACCCCGTAGCTAACGGTTTATATACCTTAAAGAGATAATCAGCTTAAGAGATGACTACGGAACACATCATTGATACAAGTCGCGAGCCAAGCGTAGGTTAGGTCGCGTGGATTTTAATCTGGATGGTGGAGCGGACCAGCGACACCCAATCTAGTGGTCGTCGAATTTATTTCACATTGCTCCCATTGAAAGAATCCGGGTTGGCGATGCAGAGATGATTAAGGGGCTGTGACAGCTTTTATAGCCTCGGTTTCGTTCACAACCTTTGAGTTAAAATGCCATAGTCCAACTCAGACGCAAAGTACCAGCTGAATGTCCCCGCAATCGCTCTGCGCAACAATCCAGATTGTGTTCCTTATTGTGAATTAAGGCACCGGTACTTTCACTCATTCACGCATGCCTTCTTGGTAGCTGACTATCACACGATCAAAGTCGAGGGATATTTCTTAATGAGCGGTACTTATCGATAGAGCAATACCACCCAGATTTAATTACAATGTGATCAGTTTCGGCTCATCGCTGTCCGGCACAGTGTAGTCCATCGTGCCTAAAAGCAGTTTCATCTAAAGATATCCGGTGTTCGAAGTCATCCCACATTGCTGAGCTTTTATGGGCCTTGGCTTATCTCCTCATCCATGTTACCTTGTACCCTTAATATATCCGAGTCAGCAAAAGTACATTGTAATGTTTCACTTTCGTATCTTTGTACATCTCTGGCTGTATGAGGGATGCATTTAGCTTAAACACATGCAGGAATCACGGACGCTTCTACGTCCACTAATTCTACATGGTGTTTTTAAGCTGGTTGCACTCAGACGGCTGTTCACGTGCATCCGGTTGACCGGTAATACTTCAAGCTTGAAGCTGAACACAGTGACCAATCTGTCCTCAACCGCAGTTCTGACATCATACCTGAGCAGGTACAACTAATGCCGATAGTTTGTCTAGGCGCGGTTGCTTCGTTAAGTCCGTCATTGGCTCTATTTTCAGAGATGCGGTGCATCTCGGCTCCTATAACCTTCACTGCGCTTGCTCGTGCAGTCTGTTGACACGTCTACTTTATGATACGAACGTTGGAAGTCACTAGAGGGAAGGGAGCAACACTCCTCGATAAGATGTTGTTCATGCTAGGAAGACATTGTATGCCTTGGTGACACGAGTACATGTGACAACACCTCAGTGAATGCGCAGCTGCCATCACACTGGGGAATGCAAAATGAAAGTTGGTATTATGAATTAAGGATGGGGAGGCATTACATGGAAATGCAACAGTGGTAGCTTGTTTTTACAAACTCACTCTGCTGCATGATTCAGTTTCCTTTTGCCTGTGATTCCAATCTAGCTTCAACTGATTGCAGTCCGCTACTATATCACACTAGAAAATACGCTTGGACGCCATTTGGACTGTTTAGAAAATTAAGTAAATGGGACTTTCCGACTTTATTCCAATCACATGGGTTTCCCATATGCACGGAACATATTCTTCGACAGAGCACCCACGCATTCCGCCATAGTGGATGCCAATAAGATTGCAGACACTTTGTCACCAATCGATCTGAAACCATGAGCGCAGGAGGAGTAACGGATTTGTAGCAAATGCTAGCAGAAGTTAAGTCCTGGAATGGATGTTGCCGGTCATTACTTTGTTCTTTAAATAGACTTTTACCGGTTGCAAAGATTAAAACTATGGCCCAGGAGATTTATAGTGGCTTCGTTGATAAGGAACTATAGCGTTCTGCGGTGGCAAACTGCACGTGTTTAGACCTTGTGATGGTGCAATTTCCTCTACTTACGTCGATATCCGCAGAAGGATTGCTGTGTCTTGCTTTTCCGTTGTGTCGTATATAGCGGATGAAAGTGCCTTTTTGAAAATGTCCGGTAGTTGTGTTTGATATTTAGAAGGATGGCCACATTTATATGTTGGCTACGATTCTGCCGTTTCCCGGCAATCCACGTGTGAGGACAACTGATGTCTTGTATTAAACTCGCTTTCTCAGAGTGTTACTTAAGAAGTCATCAGGGACTTGACAGCATTGCTCAACATCAGTAATGTTCATCCCAGTTCGAGCCAGATTGATTACTTTGTAGTCTTCTAGTGATTTCCTGATCTGAATAGTTGCTCTTCACAGCCATCATTGCAGCTCAGTTGATCGGTCTCGTACGCCAAACTCGTTGCGCCTGCACGTTACTTTTCCATTAAATGGGCCTATGCTTATCTGTTCCCCTACACTGTCCAAATAGTCGAAATCATTGCTTTTACGCACTTCATTTTATTAGCTGTTCTTGTTTTGGTTCTTGCTTTTTTCACTTAGTACGAGACTGAGTGCATTACTTCACTTTTCGATCTGACTTCCCTTGTTTCTTCCAATCTACACTTGGATAATTCTTCGTTACCCACTTCCGGTCACTAGCGCATACATTTTTGACGTGTACATGTGTGTCAGTTCACAAATCTCCATTCCCCTGCCATTTTATCTTAATATTTATCTGTTCACTTTTGTTTCTTGCGGTCTTCCACAGGAATGGGCTTTTGTTACGACGAGCTGGCTCGAGGATATTCACCGATCCATCGTTGGTCGATTTTGTACCAAAGTGAGTGCTTTTCATCTTCCCACCATACATTACTTTTTATAAGTTGGAAAATATACTCTCGTTTGATAAGAGAAATGCTTCACTAATACGAGTATTCGATTTTTTCCATCACGCGCCTATCATTCAAGAGACTTGGTTGGAGTCAGACCATCTAACGTTCGTGGCCACTTTTGGCAGATCACTTAGGTAATGTCTGTGCATTTTGACTTCCCCCAATCCAGGCTTGGGGACTTTAGATAAGCGGACACTTATTTCACTTGTAATTATATTTGCGGTACGAACATACATTACTTGCGATCGCTCTTAAACACCTCATGTGTCAGCTGGAAAATGCGACCACCATCTAGCCTAATGTGGCTGTTCATTGGTCGTTGGTGTCAGTAATCTCCCGTCACCCCAGTATATTTTAGAATCACCACGCCTACTCACTAAAGCCATGCTTGCTCCATACTTCGTTACTTTTTCATTCAACCTTTGTGGTGCTGCTGTCCGTAAGGAAATTTCTCGTAACAAGATCATGCCTCAGTAAGAGTGTCTGTCTCCGTGTATATGTCCATGTATGATTTCAAGAGTGGGATCAACTCAATTTCATGCATTCTTATCTCATCCTTTCCCGCGATCCACTTCCGGTTTATCTATTCGGTTGCAATGAATCTATGCATTTCAGTATCCTTTACAGTTATTGTCTTTTCCATCGTACCTACCACATTGCAGTGCATTGACCACCCTTAATCTCTTGTCTTTTAGTGCTTCTTTCGGGGTTGACTGCCGGGCAATGGTGCGCGAGGCAGATATCAAAATTCGACCCATCAAATTATCCCATTCACCTATCAACCGTACTATCACAGCCCTCACTGGTGCTTAACCATTTCACTTTTTTTACTTGTTTGATACTCAGAAGCAACGTTATTAAAATGAAATTATTAAAACTCGCGAAGTTCCTGTGTTTCACCATAATAACAGTCGCATTGAGAATGAAACACTCGTGTTCTCAAGCTTCTGCTTCATTTGAAAAGCATTCAGAAGTGTACATCAGTTACATGTTTCAAAGTGTATGATAGTTCCAATGCTCTTCTTCTCTCAAACTATGTGGTGAACGACCGTGTGAACCTCTCGCATCTACGGCCTCTGATCCATTTTCGCAATCTGTCAGTTTCGCGTGGTGGAAGTTTTCCGAACTTGTACAAGCAAGTCTCGCAATGCTTTGAGGTTAACTAAAATGTCACTGTTAATCGTCAAGGAACTTACAGTTGGTACGGTTGTTTGTGTCTTCTCTCAACAGTTCTAATAGAGTAGATGACCAACATCTTTTCAGAAGGCCAGCATCTGCAAATAAAAACTGCTTACATTACGAGGCATTCCGTCCCGATAACGTTGTGGTGTAACACTTAGGCAAACTTTGATCTATCACACCCCCGAAGCGCACATTGCGCTTTTATAGATCCTTACGGTGTAGAAATTAAGACTAAAGTGTTCCGTAGTTGCTGGATTCTGTTAAGGCTGTTTTGATCCGGGTTTCCCAGTTGAAAAACCAGTCTTGTGGTGTTTCCATGCTTGTTGTTGTTGTTAATACGCCTGTTGTTTCCATCATATAATTGCTGAGTAAGAGATACTACCCTCACTTGTTTTAATAACACAAACAAGGCTCTGGGCGATTTGAATTACCTGACACCTTTACATTTCCATCCTCATACTCCATCTGTTAGGGAATTTACTTTGAAACCATCCTGGCTTATCCGGATTACTGGGATTGCCTACGAACAACAGGTCGTCCTACAGAGACTGGTCAGCGGTCATAGTACTTCATTTAAAGACCATGGGATCATTTATACTGTACAAAATACGAAAGTTCATTTCCACCGGCTATTTCCATATCTTCCTCCTATTGGTCCGCACTCCCTTCGTGCACTATGATCCGTCACATCTATGACTCCCTGCTTGGGGTCACGTTGAACTCTGTTCTTTCAGCTCTACTCTGTTCATTTAGCTAGTGCAATCCTGTCCATCCAGCTTGGTGGTAGTTGGATCGCTTCGCTCAGCTGGTGTCGCCTTCGCTCACCCATTTGGCCAGTCACTATTGTACGGTGTCATCAGCCCGCGTACGTTCGCACACTCGTGCTGACACTCGATGTTGCCCAGACCAATCCGCTTGCTTTCGCCTGTCAGCGCGCTGCTAACCACTTGTATCACTCCGCATGGACCTGGTTGCCATTACTTGGCCCATGCGACAGTAGTCGACTAGCTAGGGCTGTATTTCACAAACTTCCCGTCCATAAGTCTCGAGTCTGTTTCGTTCACCCAATATACCAGCTATCGTCACAGTTGCTCCTAAACACCATACCCAAACTACATCTTACAGAGAGGGCACAGAACCAACGCGCCTTAACAGTGGCTCCTATAAGGCTTATCTCAGAAGCTGAATATTGCAAGGCACCAACAATTGTCAAACGAGCAGTGTTATGCCCAAGACTCGTTTCAACTGCGATTTCTTCCTTTGAACCTTCTATCCAACATCAGTAGTTGCTCAAAAACGCACAGTTGTGTCATGATGGTGTGTTTCAAACGACTCATCTAGTGAAAACGAACGGCACAATCCCTGCGAGTTCTACACCAGGACGAACGACACTGTATTTTCGGAACTGTTTCTCACGTGTGCAAATCGAATGCACCCTAACCCAGCAAAGACGGGGAGAAGAAAGGCAATGCAGAGTGCTTTTACGACCCTGTAATAGGCGAATATGGAGTTGCACAGCCTCGAGTATACCGCGAGGCTGGCGATGTGTGCATTTTCAGATAGATCAATATGCATAGTCTAACACGTTAGAAGGTACGTGTGAGCTCAGCTGCCCCATTTCTCAATCAGTTGCATCCATCACACAGTCGAACTACTCCTTGATAGACTCCTCTTCTTCCGTAAAAGCCCACTAAACTTAGTGCATGAGGAATTCAACTGCATCCTGTGTTGTACACACTCACATGATTGCGTGCCGTTCGTTGTGACCAATCCCAAATCAGCCAATAGCATTCGGACAAGTATGCCAACATGGCAGTTGTACCTAAACCCACCTGCGTTGCAGGGTGATCGCGCTTTGGGAGTTTAGCAATAATTGTTTACACCGAAGCTAGGCCTATGTGTGGTCACGTTCAAATAGTCAATAGTTGAGGCCTTGCTACACGGACCTCAGCCATCCGCTCGTCTAGGTGCGCAATGTGTCCGCGCACGCTAGCATTGGACAATGGAGTCTGTGAGAGCAGATGCTGGTCCAAATCAAAAAGCCTGGGACGCAGCGGCAAGGTAAAGTCAGCACAAATCGGGAGTCAAGACGAGTGCAGATGTGGCAATGAACATATTCGTAACACTGGGCCAACATAAAAGTGAGTAGTGGGCGTGATCAAGCCCGTTGCGGATGAAGTCAAGACGGTCTCACGAGGGCTTGGTCGAGCACTCAAGATCTTCGTTTGAGGCGAGGGACAGATGAGGCGCGGATCGCCAGAGTGACTTGGTATTCCAAAGTGCTCCCTGCAAGAGGCCGATTCGTTGCCTCATTTCGATTCCGCCTCAGGCTATTTCTACCGGACTCAATCATAAGCACAACGCAAGCTACTGTTTAGTATCGGAATCAGGTTGTCACTAACGAAATGAAAAAAAGAAAGGAAGGTAATCATCTTCCAACCATTTGACCCTCATACGATTCACAGGTCGTTCTGGTCCAAGTAGACAAGGCAGCTCCCGTGCGGAATGACATACTCACCAACTTAAAGTTGGATAAAGCATTTAATAGGTGTTAGATTGCAGCCACGCAACTTCCTTCCAAATAATACGTTAGACAGTCAGCTCTTCCCATTTCCCTCTTCTTCTGCAAGTACGCACACACCGAAACAGTTATCGCGCCTGCACTGTTTTCTTGAGAATGGATTAGTTTACACCCAGTTGGTTTCGTGGGATTAGGAGTGGTGGCAGCTGGGAGACCACTGTTGGTCGGAAAAATGGACTAGGCTGAGTAGATGGCCGGTAACTGAATGCATGTTGATCTATCTTAGGAGGACGAATGGGAGCAACAGGCCGGATTGATAGTGTGGATTGAGGCTACATTTGGATGGACGGCTTCTGGTGCTAACTCAGGTCATGCGGAACTCCGGATATAGTCATGTTCCACGTGGTTACAATGTTGGTCTAGTGGTTATTCTTCTCTTACATCGGGCAGAATCCGTTTAAATAGGCGTGTGTATTTGGGTGACAAAGTAGGAGGTCTGGTACCGGGAAGCAGGGACCATAGAGAGTACAATGTCTTTTAGATGCACCTAACGTTTCTCGGAGAGTCTGAGGACAGCTACTATTCCGGAATTAGCACATGGTTCTATACTCTGACGTGGTCAGTTTTACCTTGACGTCGTTAAACGGTCATCTGCATTGGGGGCTGCTCGAGGTATCTTGCACTATGCGGCTTTGGTGTTTGCTAATTTTCCATGGACGAGATGTTGCTGTGACAGTAGGTGACGCGACAGTGCTAGTTTGTCTGTGCGATCAAGTTCTCCTTTTATGACAGCTTGCGTCTATCGCAGCTACTCAGTTGTCATTGTTCGATGCGTAGTTTTGTCTCTATTCTGAGCAGGCGTCCTTACCGATTAGCGTATCGTCTAATAGCTGAATAGTTATCGTTGCATATTCTGGAAAACGCTTTTCGTCTAGTACTTAGTGGCACCCTGTGACGCAGTATAAGTGTAAGCGACTTGGTTACCGAGGATTCTGGTGAAGGCTACCCACGCGATTAGCTAAAACGGAGTCCCTGAATCATTGGCACGAACGTAAGCGATAACTTTCCAGGGGCGTATGATCAGTTCTTATGACAACTAGATTAAATTTCGCATTGTTTATTGACATATCATTTAAGCTTACACATCCATAAAAGCGCTTTTTATCAGCATTACCATGCACATCGGTGTCAATCTGGTGCTCCGGCTTAGGCGTGAGCGGTTTCTTCTGTGTGGTTTAGGTAAGCGACCATCCATGATTGAGCTAGAGCAACGATCCTGGGCGCGACAAAGATGTCTTCTCAGGGGGTGTATGATCGTGCTTAATAACAGTGCATTTAAATTCCGTAGATGATGAAATAACTGGTCCACTACGAATACATTTAGTAGCATCAGATGGACTGTGGAATTCAACCACTAGTGGCGAGCAATCCTCATGAGAAGTGTTGTGGAGTCGTACCACGCTGCAGTCAATCTCTGTCAGTGTACTAACTTTAAATAGGGTGCGCTTCACATAGTGTATTGAGTACCTGTCTGAGACAATGGGGGCAATCTGATTATTCGTTGGTGTATTTCAACGGCTATTCAAATAACTTACTCGCATGCTATTTTTGCGGCGGGTATGGATTAGGTGTTTCTATTTCGTATGACAGTGGGGTCACCCAATGTGTCAGCGACTCGAAAAGAAAATTCTGTTTAAACATGACCAGCTTATTCTGTACACCCGCTAGTTTACTATTCAGCTCTGAAACAATGTGGGCTGCTTCACACAGTTGCGTGCTTTCATCTTCTGATATGCTACTTGCTTCAGCACGGCATGTTGGAATGTCAACTTCCTAGTAGCATGACGATTCTTGGGAGACATCAGGACAGCATTTACTTCATATGTGAACATGTTTGCTAAAATAATCCGAGATAACTGGCACCCGCAATCTATTCGGTCAGGAAAATTAGCGGCAATAATTTTATGGAGATTGAAATCTCTACCAGAATTTCTTTTTCGGAACTTTGGATACAACAAGCGTTATGTACATTTAAGGTAGCCGCAGTAACCCGTGTGAAACGGTTCAGGTACTAGCAGTAACTTGCATTTACTGCTATGTACGCACTTATGAGGAGTGGGACATTAATTGGCTGGTGGCTTGCATAATGCGGATTGATTCAGAACCCACTCAAGGGCAATTGTCACACGAGTCGGTACTCAGCAGTTATGAAAGTACGCCGCACTCGTTAAACGATTTTTAGTAAAAATTCATAACCATCTGGTATTTTCTACTCTAGGTAGTCCTTAATCACTGTTCTTCACGAAATGGCTCTTCCCAGAACTTCAGCAACTTTGGCTGCTCTCACCGCCCATTTCTTCCGCAGATATTTTGTCAGAAAAGCGAGACCTAATAATGTGTCAGCTTATACGCCGTAACGGCGCTTGGCTGCCGCGCGACCACCACCAGTCGCGCGCGGGCTGAGTATACCGCGAGGACGCCCCCCCCCCTACGCGGATTCGAACTGGTGACCTTATGATTGGAAAGCAAACGACCACTCGGCCACCGGCCGAGACCGCCCAATGTCAAGTG